GGTATTAAGTTAAATTATATTAGAACTATGGAATGCGATGCTATTTTATGATATTCGTTCTACGATATTATGTCCTATGATATTGGAAAGATAAAGTATAAAGCCATGTCTCCTATATTAGTTCTACTATATTATGTCATATCAGTGTTTCCCCTAGGTTTCCAACTTTGGGGGGGCGGACGTACCGGAGGGGGGCGTGGGTGTTGGGGCGCTATGGAAAACACTGTATATGATATTAAGTTATATAATATTAGAAATACTAAGTATGATGCCATGTTTGTTATATTAGTCCTATATTATGTTATATGAGATTAGTCCTATATAATCTTCTATGATACTAGAAATATGAAGTATAATACTATGTTTTTTATATTAGTCCTACATAATGCTATATGATATTAGTCCTATATTATCTTGTTATTATCTATGATATTACAAATATGAAGTATGAAAATATGTTATATATATTGGCATGGCATCATTGAAACTATAGAGGGGGACATGTGTGTCAACCTTTCCTAATGCATAACTTGAAAAATCAAACCGAGATCCCAATTTCCAACGACGGACAAATGAAACTATCGGTCTACCTTCACAAGTTGTCACTGTTGATTCGTCAACCCAGCCGTGGTAGTTCATCCAAACACCGGCCAAATGGCCGGGTTCAGGGTATATGCGCAGATACAGAAATCCCCTCATCTTCATCTGCAGCCTTGCATTAACCAAAGAATGAAATGGATGAGATGAAAAAGATTCCTCATTCCTCAGAGGCCGTGCCGTGCTACTGTCCAGTCCATGAAGGTGGAAAAAAACACTTCCTGGAGCAAAGGGAATAAACTATACAATGGCAATGATATTTACCAATGAATGAGGAGGCGGTCCATGCCCGGGGTATTTAGCGCTGTGAAGCGCAGGTGGAAGGGGAGCGGGGGTAGATGGATGAGGTAGGATGGAGTGGGAGGTGAAGGAAGGTGTTCTTACAGGTCCTGAATGGTCTCCTTTTTCTTCTCTTCTCTCTCCTATTTCTTTGTCTCCTTGTCCTGCATCTTGCGCCTCATTTTGTCCATCTCCGTCTGCCGGTCTTGCATCCGTCTCCCAAAGATGCCTCTTTTTTTTTTTTTTAAGTCGAGGCAGATGTTTTCAAGGACTGTTTTGTCGTCCTCTAATTCTTGGATCCTGGTGATAAGGATCTGATGTTCTTTGGAGATGGTATCCTCCAGTTGTTGGATCCTAGAGGTCAGGCACAACTCAGTGAAATCACTGATTGTGACCATCTCGTGGCGGGTCTCCTCTTGGCTCTTTATTAAAGCAGCCAGAGAATCCCTCTGTGTCTTCAGCAGTTTGTGTTCTGCTTCCAACTGCTGCCAGGTCTCATTGTTGACCGTGAGTTCAGCACTTTTGACAGAAAGTTCTTTTGTGGTCTCGGTGAGCTTCAGAGATAAACCCTCGTTCTCCCTGATAGTCTCATCCAGAGCCTCTGTCTTGATCTTCAGCAGTTTGTGTTCTGCTTCCAACTGTTGGTTGTTGGCCTGCTGCTTGTGCAGCTTCTCTTGAAGAGACATGTTGGTGGAGAGTAACCCTGTTACTTTAGACTCCAATGACTGTTGTTGGTCATCCAGTTTCTTGGTTGTCTTTTTCTCCAGATCTTCATATTTCTGCTGCCAGGTCTCGTTGTTGACCGTGAGTTCAGCACTTTTGACAGAAAGTTCTTTTGTGGTCTCGGTGAGCTTCAGAGATAAACCCTCGTTCTCCCTGATAGTCTCATCCAGAGCCTCTGTCTTGATCTTCAGCAGTTTGTGTTCTGCTTCCAACTGTTGGTTGTTGGCCTGCTGCTTGTGCAGCTTCTCTTGAAGAGAAATGTTGGTGGAGAGTAACCCTGTTACTTTAGACTCCAATGACTGTTGTTGGTCATCCAGTTTCTTGGTTGTCTTTTTCTCCAGATCTTCATATTTCTGCTGCCAGGTCTCGTTGTTGACCGTGAGTTCAGCACTTTTGACAGAAAGTTCTTTTGTGGTCTCGGTGAGCTTCAGAGATAAACCCTCGTTCTCCCTGATAGTCTCATCCAGAGCCTCTGTCTTGATCTTCAGCAGTTTGTGTTCTGCTTCCAACTGTTGGTTGTTGGCCTGCTGCTTGTGCAGCTTCTCTTGAAGAGAGTTGTTGGTGGAGAGTAACCCTGTTACTTTGACCATGAGTTCAGCATTTTTGACAACGAGTTGTTCGGTCTCTCTGACCTTCAGAGATAAACCCTCGTTCTCCCTGATAAGGTCTGAAAACCTCTTTCGGTTCTTGTCAACCATCTGCTCATAGGCAAGATCTTTGCCTTTTAACATGTTGGTCAATTCGAACTTCACAGTTTCAGTGTGAGCGGTGAGTTCGCTCACTTGCCTTTTCAGGCAGTGCACTTCATTCCGTGCATGAGAAAGTGCAATGTTCACATTGTATCCGGTGGGAGGAGTCGGAAGAAGTGGAGCGCCAGCTCCAATTCTCTGGTTGTTTCTACGGTACATGTTAAATGACACTTGTGTAGTCTTGAAAAAGACTGTTGGTCAGCCCTGAAAAGGGGTGTAGTCTTGAAAAAGACTGTTTTATTTGTCGCTAAATGACTCGATGTAACCTCTGAAAGATGGTGATGAATCTTCCAAAAAACTACTTAAGTCTGTAAAGGACAAATATCGCAGATACTTTCAAGAGAAAATATCCAACTGCACTCTTCTGGAACCAGAAACGCAATGATCTAGTGTTCCGAGACACATCAAAGGATTTCTTGATGATGTCACAGTTCCGTTGTCAGGGAAACGCAGCCCCGTGTCATAGAGTGGACTCCATAACAAATGAATGGAGTCCACTCTATGACACGGACTGCGTTGTCAGGGAAACGCAGCCCGTGTCATAGAGTGGACTCCATAACAACGGAATGGAGTCCACTCTATGACACGGACTGCGTTTCCCTGACAACGGAATGCAAAATACAACAAAACTCACTTTGTGTGGTTTTTATATATACACAACTTGATGATGCCGATATATAAAGTCTCATTCACCTCTGTTTCTTCCTGCACCGTGATGCCCATTTCTGAACCACGTTTTGGATGAAGAAGCACTGATATTGAGTGATACAGATCAGACCAGCGTGAAGCACCTCCCCATCCCTTACACATGCCCCGTATGGCGCGGCATGTCTTTATATGCCGAACCTGAAAATAAAGGCACTATTTGCCGTACTGTCAAAAGTGTGTGTTTGGCGCTGAAGTCCATCTTTATTACCTTCCCTGGCCCCAGAAGAATGTGTCACATCAAAGAAGATTTCCACAAGACGGTCCACATATTCTGTGTAAATGGGTGATTGTGTTTGATGTTGTGAGATGCATGTAATGGTAAAATATGTTAAAACATTGTCTTGTGCTAAACCCGGGTCTCAAGTGTCCGTATTTGACCCTGACGTGCAAAGAGCAGCATGATACAAAATGTTAGTTTGCAGCTGTGTCCGTCACAGCTGCACAAAACCAGCACAGTTAGCACATAAACACATATATAACACCAACACATTGAAAAATCATATTAAAAGCCAATTAAACAGTCTACAACTTTCCTAGCAAGTACATGTTTTTAAATCCTTTCGCATTCAGTCGGTCCACGATTGTTTGCCTGGCTTTTTCTCTTTGTTTAATTACAGCTGCAGCTCTTTATTTTCTTCCTTCTTGGCTTCAGGTGCAGTCAGGATGCGAAGCTCAACATATCTTGTCAGAATTTGCTAGTTGCCACGTTCAGAACCATTGTTCTCGAGTTGGCTGGTGGAGGCGACAGACGGGCACTAGGGATGGTCAAAGGACTGACCTGGGGCCTGTTGGCTGCTGAGACCAGCGGCTCCTCAGCTGAGATGTTCTTTTTACCACAACGCCATCTCCTTTATTAAATACATTTGATTTTAACCTTTTGATCAGCGATGACCTCTGTCCGTCCGGCGTTTCTTCATTTTTGAACACAACAGGCCGAAGTTTGTTCCTTTTCAAACTCCCCGACGATAGAAGGCGCTAAGGAGCGCGTCTATAACCCTATTTGCTGCACAGACATCCTGTTTACCCCAAAGAGTCCCCAAGTTATCAACAGAAGAAGGTTTTCAAACAGACACAACATGTGGTTCAATTAAGTACTCACTCTCTGGAATCTGGAAAGAAATGATTAGTTGTGTTTGTGCGTGTGATTTGGAGTGGTGAACTCAGCTGTCAACAAGCAGCAGGAGAGCACCTTGTTAACCTCTTGGTGTACTGCATGCTCAAAACATCGTAGCGTTATTCATTACAGTTTTTTACGACTGGATAAACACTAAAATCAAAAGTATTACACAATTATCAAAACCTTCACTCAAGGAGCAAAACCACGGCTCAGATTTGCACCACTATAAGCACATGTCAAGCAGAAGCAGAAGCAGAAGGAGGCCGAGGCCGTGCCAGAGGCCGAGGTGGAGGTAGAGGCTGAGGTGGAGGTGGAGGAAGACCTGAAGCAGAGAGGCTCAAAGAAGAGGACCAAATTTGTCAGATGAAATGATGTCGTCGTGGCGCAGGGATTAGAGAAGGTGTACAGGGAAGCACAAGGTTGGTGGTTCTAGTCCAGGCTGCCCCATGTTCCATGTCGAAGTGTCCCTGAGCAAGACACCAAACCCCTAATTGCTCCCCAGGCAAAACGTGAAAAAACCATGTGTTTAAAGTGTTGGATAAAAGCGTCTGCTAAAATGACCTGTAATGTAATGTTTAGATTATCATTTGTTTTTTTATTATTTCCCTTTTTGTTTCATTAGTATTATTAGTGGATCAAATATGAATAACCATCAAGTATTAGTTGATTTATATTTTGTATCATAAAGCTGAAAAGTAAAGAAGTTTAAAATGGATGAACGCATGAGTAAATATACATTTAACCATCACGTTAAACTAGAATACTTCTTCCCCTTCTGATTTACCGCATTTCCACACTTTGTCCGCTAGATGGCGACGAATCCCCTCCACGAAATGACGCTCTCTGTGACGTAGATTCCATGAGCCGGAAGTGAGGAATTGTAGTTGTCAGCGATCCCGATAGTGACAAGACGAATCAAACCACAGCGTGAAAAACAGACGAGAAGCCGATTAAAAACAGGTTCGTGTCCCGTGATGTGAAGTGTGTCGCGTTCACTGCGCGTCTATAAATACGTGATGTGTTGAATGAAATGACGGTTGTTGTGTTGTTTACGTGTGTGGCTAATTAGCATGCTAGCTGCAGACACAGGTCTGTCTGTCATTTTTAAAGACCTTGATGTAACGCCTGTTTTTACTTCTTAAACAGAACTTGTTTGGAGGAAGTGTCCTGCACACTGTGAAAGGATGGTGAGATCATAATAAATACATGTCATAAATGGCATGATATATATATCATACATGTTTATTGCATGGTGGCATTATTATACATGAAGTGATTATTATTACTGTTCTCTTTGACAGCACGGCCGAGTGAAGGTGAAGTCTACAGCCCAGCAGGAGGAGGAGAAGAGAAAGGAGAGGGAGAAGAAGCTGAAGATTTACGTGGCTGCACGAGATGCCTGTTTCTCTAAGGTTCCTCCACACGTCGGCCCCACAGCATCACGCTGTATTGTCACATAATAGTAGAATATTGTCATACATGACGATATAATAAACAAACAAAGAAGAGTAGTTGCTCAAAGTTGCGTTGAAAAGCAGCGACAGTTCTCAAAAAGTATTTATAGATCATTCAAAATAACGAATAACAGCAGCAGCATCTTTTATTGGGCACGACGGACTTTAAGTACAATATTACATTTCACTGACTAAGTGGTCCCTTATTAGCAGTTCAGGTTGTTTCTTGTGCTCATTTGTCACATCACCTTTCCCTGCGTCTGTCTGTCTGTCTGTCTGTCTGTCTGTCTGTCTTGCCTCCGTCTGTCCCGTGTGCCAGAGGAAAGAGGGCGTCTGGGACGACGGCGCTCTCCAGATCACCCAGCAGCTGCTGTCATCCAACCCTGACTTTGGAACCCTGTGGAACTACAGACGAGAGATCCTGATGCACCTGGAGACTGTGAAGTGAGAACACCATCTTTTTTAACTCTCCGCCCGTGAGTCCTCCGAGGCGGGACAGGAGGTGAGCTTCTTCTTTCCGTTTCCAGGGATGAGGATGAGGTGCAGAAGATTTATGAGGCCGAGCTGTCCTTCCTGGAGTCTTGTCTCAAAGTGAATCCCAAGTCCTACGGCAGCTGGCACCACCGGGGCTGGGTCTCCACCCGCCTGCCTCGACCCGACTGGGCCAGAGAACTGGGCCTGTGCGATCGCTGCCTGAACCTTGACGACCGCAACTGTGAGTAACGCAGCAGAGAGATGAGAAATGATAAGACGAGGTAAGATTATACAATGAGACGCAGTAAAAAGGAACAACATATTGGTCCCCCCCCTCCAGTCCACTGCTGGGATTATCGCCGGATGGTGGTGAAGAAGTCCGGCGTGCCGGTGGATCGAGAGCTGGCGTTCACCGACCGCCTCATCGGCTCCAACTTCTCCAACTACTCCAGCTGGCACTACCGCAGCACGCTGCTGCCGCTGCTCCACCCGGAGTCCCCCGAGCCCCTCCCGTCACCGCGCCGACCGCCCCCCCGCTCCTCCCCGCCGGCTTCCCCGCAGAACCACTCCCATCGCGTCTGCGAGGCGCAGCTCCTGAAAGGTGCGCTGCAGCAGCCCGGCAGCAGGGGGCAGTGTGGCGCCGTGTCGTGGCCACAGGGTCCGCTTCTGTTTCTATGGTTCCCCGTCGGGCTCTTTGAGCGTCTCTGCAGACGTGGCTCAAGGGGCTTACCCAGAATGCATAGCAACTTGCTGGGCTTTACTCACATTTATCATCATTAATCATTTTGTTTTCAGAATATGAGCTCGTGCAGAACGCTTTCTTCACCGACCCGAATGACCAGAGCGCCTGGTTCTACTACCGCTGGCTGCTCGGCAGGGGTGAGTCCTCCCGTCCACCTGTCGGGTGGTTGTTGTACTCTTGTCTGATGGCTGTCTGTCTGTCCCAGCGGAGCGCGAGGAGATGATCAGCTGTGTTCTGGTGAGCCGGGAGGAGGAGACCGTGACCGTGGCCTTCTCCAGGCCCGTCGACGTGAGCCGCTTCTCTTCTTCTGGTCTTTTTTAAAAGGACGTAACGCTTCCCGTCTGCTGCGTTTAACCACTCGGCTCCTTCTCCTAAGGCGCAGCCCGGCGGGTTGATGCTGTTGCTGGACGGTCAGCCGCAGACGGTTGAGTGGAGGAGCGTCCACCCGCGCTTCAAGCACAGCCCGGTGTGGGTATCCTTCTCCGCCACATGCATTATTATCAACAGCTGTTTGACACCCCGACCTCGCTGGGTCCATTTTTCTTTTAAAAAGCTTTTGTGTCGTCACGCTGCTTCCTCATTTCACCGTTAAACAATAAAGGAATTGATTCAGTGGAGGCTGAAAGGATCCGTTGTCATGGCGACTGATGGCAGCGATGAGTTCGTTCATAATCGTGGCTCTTTGTTTCCCCGTGTGATGATGATGATGATGATGATAAAACAAAGGAGACCTATTTGGGGCTTTTGGACCTTGACGACCGTGACCTCAGATCTGTGACCTTCCTCCCGGGACCATCAGTGATGTCACCAACGAACACAACCTGACGGTTCACTGGATGGAGAGACACGCCCACAGGGACTGCGCTCTGTACACAGGTGATGCGCGGCGGACACGTTTACGCGCCCGCCCTCATTCGCCTCGACGCGCTCTGAACTTTGACCTTCTCACCTCTGCAGGTCGGACTGAGAGCTGGTGTCGGGACTCCGCCACCGATCAGGAACTTTTCAGGTGCCTTTTACGCTTTTAAAAAAAATATGTGAATACTGTCTTCAAGGGTTCTGGGGAAATGTACAAAATAAATATTACATTTATACTTGTGACACTATAGCACCATAAACACCAGTGTAGTAGTCCAGAGTACTTCTATTTAAGAAAATATGTGAAGAAAATCCCAATATACAACAGAAAGGAAGTGTGTCAGTATATATATATATATATATATATATATATATGTGTATATTTACATACTTAAATACATATGAACATACACGTATATATCAGTACTGGTCGTTAACGCCAACTTTTGTACTATAATTCATCATAACCGTGATTATTTGTGTGTTATGTGAATCTTTTGTTTTACTTCTACTGTAATCGATAGACCAGGTGCTTGTGATGCATTGTGGGTATTTAAGAAGTGCTCCCTCGGTGCGTAGGAGCGAGCTGTCGGTGGAGAAGACCTCGGTGTTACAGTCCGAGCTGCAGTCCTGCAAACAGCTGCAGGAGCTGGAGCCTCTCAACAAGTGTGAGTGTCCTCAAAGGCCTCCTAGCCTCCTAGCCTCCTAGCTCCTAAATAGGACATCTCAACAACTTCTACATTATATATAAATCTAACACGGCTCTCCATCGGCAGGGTGCCTGCTCACCATCATCCTCCTGATGAGGGCGCTGGACCCTCTGGGATACGAGAAGGAGACGCTGGCTCACTTCCAGACGCTGAGAGTGAGCGATGTGCTACTGTGCTTTTTAGTTAGGAAGCATGGAAGTGTCCTTCGCGATGAGCCTTCCTTTAGCTCCTTTAGCATAGGGAACACTGGAGCGATGAAGCGTAGCTCAGTGAAAGGTTTTCGGCGCCTCTCCTTCACACCTTTCCTTGACCCTGCGACGCTTCCCACAGAGGTCAGGGAGAAGTGCGTAGGAAAGGAGGTTAGGAGGTCCCCTTTGTAGCTCCTGGACCCTCGTAGCCTGCAGCGGCGAGCAGGTAATGACATCGCCGTCTCCCCTCAGGAAGTGGACCTCATGCGCTCTGCGTACTACAGCGACCTGTGCAGCAAGTTCATGATTGAGAACACGGTCCTGAAGATGGAGTACGCTGAAGTGCGCGTCTTCAGCATCTCCGACAAGGCGGGTTCACGATCACACCGATGGATCTAATCTGCTCATTGCTCCCATGTAACAAGTCCTTCTTCTCCCCGAATAGAAGCTCACCACCTTATGCCACCTGGACCAGCTGTTACTGGTCACCCACATGAACCTGTCGTCCAATCAGCTGCAGCGACTGCCCCCCCAGTTCTCCATGCTGCAGTGCCTGGAGGTGAGAACATCCCATCATCTCCTCCTCGCTGAGCCGTCGTCCCTGTGATTAAACTGTTTCTTCTCCGCTGGCAGGTCCTGGAGGCTGAGAACAACTCGATAGAAGATCTGGAAGGCGTCTTTCACCTTCCCAGACTGGAGGAAGTCCTCTTGAAGAATAACAGTATCCTTCGATGTGGATTTGAGCTAAGACCGTCTAATACGGGCATAGAAACTAGTGATTAATGAGTGGAGGAGAAGGATTCACACGCGTCAAACCTGAGGACTAAATTATTCCATTAGGCACCACGGAAATCTGATCAATCTGATCAAAGGTAAAAGAATGAATGTTTTTAAAGGTTTACCTAAATAATTATTCTCTTATGCAAATATAAAAAATGTAATTGCTTTTTTAACACAAACTTCCTGCATTTATAGCGTTCTTTATCGTTGAGTGAAGCTGTTTTCTTTGTTCTCTTTAACACCAGACTCCTTTGATAAAAACCGTGATTTAATACCCAACGAACACCGGAGCTTCTGGTTACTTCTTCTTCTTCTTCTGAGAAGAAGTATTAGTTTTCCTCCTCGTGCAGATCCTCTGGTTCCATTTGAATATTTAGGAGAATTTATTCACTTCCTCGTGCGAACGCCCCGCCCCTTAACCCAGAACCGCCCAGAAATCTCCACGCTGGCCGACCTGCGGCCGCTGGCCTCCTGCCCCAAGCTGAAGCGCCTGGATCTCCGTGGAAACCCCGTCAGCGGGCTGGAGGAGGTGGAGGCGGCGCTGACGGAGCTGCTGCCCTCGGTGGTCGACCTCCTGCTGTGATGGTTCATGGGGGGGGGGGGGGCACTGGACTGTGGCTTGTTGCTTTACGGTTTAATTTGAGAAAGTTTCCTTCACATGTTTTTTTTTATTTGAAATGTTGTGTAACGCCTTAAAATATTTGACACTCTACTGTTGCACAGTAAGTCACGATCCAGTAATAAAAGCGCACACATTGTGTCGCTGCCTTCACAAAAGCCTCTTGTGTTCGGCTGCAGATGTGCAATGAGTTCATGAGGTGACGCTAAAGGTGCGTCGAGCTTCATCAGGTTTCATCATTTCTAAATCGTCCGTTTAATCGTCTCATTCAGACTCGTTGAGACACGTAAACGCTTCAAACTGAATCATGAACCAAAACCACACCAAGAAACTCATCCGTCCCCCCAGCGGTGCTGCAGGAGGACTGTGGGGTTCATCCTCCGGGCACCATGAACGTGTGTGAAGACCTTTATGGACAGAGACTTTCCGTTTGGACAAAGACTCCCAGTTTGGACAGAGACTCCCAGTTTGGACAGAGACTTTCAGTATCGACGGAGACTCCCAATTTGGACAAAGACTCCCAGTTTGGACAAAGACTTTCAGTTTGGACAAAGACTCCCAGTATGATGAAGACTCACAATCCCTGACTCCTCCGGTCTGATTTTCGAGGTGAGGTCGGATCGGCCGCTCCCGCCTTTTGTTTATTTTCAACATTTGCGTCACGTTCTGCAGGCGTTGCACATCCTTCTCACTGACGCAACGGCAGGGGGGAGATGGGGGAGGAGGAGGGGGAGGAGGTGGGGTGGGAGAGAGCAACCCGACCGGTCGACGCGGATGACTGGCGCTGCCTTTTTACGTTTCAGCGAAGCGGAGCGAGGGAGTGGCCCCGCCCACAAGGTGCCGTCGATGGCTGCATTCCATTCAGCTGCTTCAGAGGCACCTGCGCCTCTGAAACCTGCGCGTCATGAACGGGTGAATGGGAGCATTACTATAACTGCTTACAACAACACCCTTAATTAAGGAGAGTCACTACCTAAGAGAAAAAACATTTAGCTGTTAGTTTACGTTCACGTCATTTCATTTTTCAATAAAAATTAAATGCAAAAATGAAATAAACAAATGAATGTAATAACTCAATAAACGCTCCTCTTGATGTAGTGATGAAGTGATGAAGTTTCATGTTGATTTCTACTCTTTAATTCGTTCTTCACCTGTCGTGTCTTGTGACTAAACTTCTCCTTAAATGAGTTTCTTCTCACTCTGATCCAAAAGTCAGGAGCTTCATTCCTTCATTCTGGAGGTTTGCTCTCATTCACAGACTCAGTTATTACTTTAAAAAAATTGGAACCTGGCTTTATTAAATAGCCATATTCATGTTCTAGAAATGTATACAAAGTTACACAGTTAAATAAAATAAAGCCTTTTTAACTCATAATGTAAATCCTCATCTTAACATCATTGATCTACTGATGAAATCTCGTATCGAAATCCAAGAATCAACTTCTTTAACCTCCTCAGTGCACAGTTTCTCACCAATGATCCTGTTGTCATACGTTATACATTCACGACAGGAGGAACTCATCGGCCGGGGGGGGTGAACGGGGCCCCGGGGCGGCGGGGGGGCGTGTCTCTCCTCACAGGTATTTAAAGGAGGTCTGAAGTCGCAGCGCGAGACGCAGCAACACGCAGATCATCAGGAGACTTCTTCCCCACGTGAGTCTGATCCAGCTGTTTACACATCTGTCTTTTAGGAATCACTCGTTTCAACTCGTTGAAATCTCGAATCTTCGTGGGAAGAATGAAAGGGAAGGTTTTGCTGTGTGTCGTGGTGTCAGGATTAAGCAAGAACCAGTGGGAAAGTTCTCCGTTTGGTGAAGCTGTTCTGCTCCCCGAATGGATTCACACTCTCCGACTGGGAGGGATCATTTTCCCTCACTGAAACATTCCCCTTGTCTTCCCGATTCCGACCTCCGATCGCTTCATCAAACCAGTCAGAGGGAAACTTTTGCATTATTGGCTCAGGATCAGATAAGAAGTCAGCGTTTGTGTGATGGCTTCTCAGGGAATGATGTGATTGTGGTTGGCGGTTGGTTCCCCCTTAGTTTTCCATGTTTCCCCCAGTTTCCCCCGTTTCCCCCTCTGTTTCCCCCTCTGTTTCCTCCTCTGTTTCCTCCTGTTTCCCCCTCTGTTTCACCCGTTTCCTCCTGTTTCCTCCTCTGTTTCCCCCTCTGTTTCCTCTTGTTTCCACCTCTGTTTCCCCCTCTACTTCCCCCTGTTTCCTCCTCTGTTTCCTCCCGTTTCCCCCTCTGTTTCCCCGTTTCCCCATCTACTTCCCCCTCTGTTTCCTCTTGTTTCCACCTCTGTTTCCCCCTCTACTTCCCCCTGTTTCCTCCTCTGTTTCCTCCCGTTTCCCCCTCTGTTTCCTCCCGTTTCCCCCTCTGTTTCCCCGTTTCCCCATCTACTTCCCCCTCTGTTTCCTCCTGTTTCCCCCTGTTTCCTCCTGTTTCCCCCTGTGTTTCCCGCTGTTTCCCCAATCAAGCACTTAAGAGAGAAGTAATTTTCTCATAGACTTCTATAGGCCCAGAAGAGTCGCCCCCTTGGTGGTCAAGAGGGAGAACGCAGCTTTAAGAGACTTGGCTCCACTCTTCAGGTGTGTAGCTCAACGCTCGCTCTGTTTGTATAATCCGTAGCACACACGTGGGATAATCCTGGCATGTAAAGACATGTGGGAAGTGGGCAGGTCACTTCTTCATGGCGGCAGCTTCGGCTCCGGTTTCCCCTCCTAGTTTTCCTGGTGAAGTGCAGACATCTCTGCACGGTGATCTGTGTGTGTTTTCCATTTTTTTCTTTGCCACCCAAATATTTGCGGCGCAGCTTCTTTAACAGCCGCTACCTTTACCGCCAGGCAGCCAGTTCTCCTGGTTGTTGCATATTTATTTGATCTAGTTTCTGTTCTGGGCCTCGTCTGCGTACTGTAAACATTCCTCAGCTGCCTGAGGCAGAACATGACGAGCTTTCTCCTGTGATTTATTCTCTCACACTCATGAATGTGGAGTCATTATCTGCCCTGATGTTGCTTCACCGGATCAACAAACACACAGAGTCACCGTTGCCATGAAGTTGCATGTGGAAGGAGGGGGGTCTCCAGAGGGTCTTCAGGGGGTTTGTAGCATTTCTGACATCGAGGCCAGAAAAGACGAAGAAATGAGAGGAGAGGCAGAGGAAGACGGGGAATCTAACCTTCGGTGTAAGAACTGCCCGTTTTAGTCTTCACATTAGATTCAGCGTCAGTGAATGAGAGACGAGTTCCTAACAATCCTCTGACTGAGGAGAGCTGAGGAACAAATCCTCCTCATGCAGCAACGATAGTGTTACTTATATAAATAAATATATATAGGTAATATATTACATCATTAAAATACCTGCACTGTAGTTGAATTTGTGGGTAGGAGGCTTATTAATGTCACAACAAACACTGCGTGGTGCTGTTCAAACTCAGTTTAAAAAGTAATATAAAAGTCATGGCTAGATTAGATTTAGCTGGTATTTAAACCTAAAGATAAATGGTTGAAAAGATAAACAACGTCTTAAACGTGATCCATTGAGGAAGGAATTCACAGGGCTCATCTAACAGGGCCGGGAGCCCCTTTAATAAATCATTGACCTTTTTCTTTTGTCATATTAATAATATTGGTCTCCTTGATTGAGATCAGCTCTCTGTGGTAGTTTGAATCCGACCTTTTGAGGGGCTTGAAAACAATGTGGTCCTTCAGGAGAATCTGTGCACGGCGGCATTCCTCATGAGGGTTCCTCTTGAGCCGGTCCTCCCTGACCTCGGGCGGTTTCCACCCGCCCCCGAGCGCGAGGGAGCCTCTGGGAGGGGAGAGGAGGAGGCGCAGGAGAAGCCTGGCGAGGAGGGGAACGCGTGCGGCCGATGGCTCCGTAGAGTCTGCCCCTGCTGCTGCCCGAGGCCCAGCGACAATGACGCCACCGACGTTCTGATCGTCGGGGGCGACGAGACGGGCGGGATTGAAGGACCAAACGCCGAGAAGCCGGGGACGGACGGCAGCGAGCTCCACGGTAAGCGCCGCCTCCACGTGCGCAGGCCGCGCGAGTACACAACCGCTCTCACACTTTGTTTCCTCGCAGACGTCCTCCTCACGGTGAAATCCATCGACCTGATGAAGAGCCAATCGGGGGCGAACCGCAGGGAGCACCACACGGACCGCTTCCAAAGTGAGAACCTCGTCATCCGCAGGGGGCAGACGTTCCAGATGTGGATAACGTTGTCCCGACCCTTCCGCCAGGACGCCGACAAACTCCACCTGGAGCTGAAGACAGGTCAGTGGTCTCCTTCAAATGTTCAGCGACATGAGCGATCTGTGCAGCTTCAGAGAAGAAGCTGCAGGGAAGAAGCTGCAGAGAAGAAGCTGTAGGGAGGAAGCTGTAGAGAAGAAGCTGTAGGGAGGAAGCTGTAGAGAAGAAGCTGCAGGGAGGAAGCTGTATGGAAGAAGCTTCATGGAGGAAGCTGTAGAGAAGAAGCTGTAGGGATTAAGCTGTAGAGAAGAACCTTCAAGGAGGAAGCCGCAGAGAAGAAGCCGCAGAGAAGAAGCTGCAGAAGAAGCTGTAGGGAAGAAGCTGCAGAGAGGAAGCTGTAGGGAGGAAGCTGTAGAGAAGAAGCTGTAGGGGGGGAACTGTAGGGAAGAAGCTGTAGGGAAGAAGCTGTAGAGAAGAAGCTGTAGAGAAGAAGCTGTAGGGGGGAAGCTGTAGAGAAGAAGCTGTAGGGAGGAAGCTGTAGAGAAGAAGCTGTAGGGGGGAAGCTGTAGAGAAGAAGCTGTAGGGAGGAAGCTGTAGAGAAGAAGCTGTAGGGAAGAAGCTGTAGGGGGGGAACCTGTAGTGGGGAAACTGTAGAGAAGAAGCTGTAGGGGGGAAGCTGTACATGTATACTGTATGTATAATATGTACACATACATACATTTTAATGAGATTTCTTAAGCAGCTCAATTTAACGGTTTTCACTCAAACTGAGCGAACTCCCCATGAGATGTTTCTAGTTACACATCAACATGAACAAAGACAACGAGACGAGTCCACGGTTAAGAAACGAACAAAGAAAACAATTGATTTGAATCCCCCCCCCTCGGGAGATGAGAGGTGATGGACCAGAGAGAAGTTCAGCCTGGTTTTACAGATAGAGAGAAGGGGGGAGATTTGTGGTTACTATTGCTATGGTAACAGTTCTGGTTGCTATGTTCCAGAGGGATGCCGGGTCCTCAGTCCCGCTCCTTCTGAAGATCCAGTCTGCCAGCGACCCCCCCAACCCCTCCCTCGACAAACGCACACCAATAATAGATCGTGCCATTACACAGCTGTGTGTGACATTAAGTGAAGCTGAGGGCTGTAATTACTCCGTCTGGTTCACAGAAGCAGCCGTCATGAAATGTGACCTCGTGTTCACGGCGCGACACCGAGGGTTTAAAGTAGCAAACGTATCGGAAGTTGGGAATTGGACATTTATTTATATATAATGTGTTTCCTTGGGGTGGGGGGCTAAAACCCACCGGAGAGACTTATGAAACGATTATGAAATACATGAAGAGGGTTAGAGTGACTCAATCGGTACACGGTCACTTGTGTTTCATGTGGATCACATGACTTTACTTTGGGATTTCTTTCCTGGTTTGTGGACTGGATGAAAAGCAGCCTGAGCAGCGTGACGGGACGTCCTGGACGTCCTGGACGTCTTTAAACCAGTTTTAAACCACCATCACTCTCGAGGTTCAAAAGCTGCATTCTGAGAGGAATCAGAGCCGATCTAAGCGGCTTGGTGGCTTCTTCTAACGTTCGAATGAGAGTTGTGGATCGTTGTGACTTTGTGGTTTGAGATCCAGTGTCTCTGTCCGGGGGGGCACGTCGCTATTCTTAGAGCTGGAAGTGTAAAGCTGCTGCTCTGCTGGGAGCAGGCGGTGTGTGGCCTCTTAGATCATGGCGAGGGGAGGGGGGCATGGGGACATTTCATGGGCCCAACTACTCCATGGCCCGGGGCAGTCGCAGCTGTACTTATTATTTATTCATATGTGATGGACAGCCAGAGTCTGATGACGCTGTCACATCTGTCCATCAAACAAGCCGGGGTTGAGCTTTCCCCTCTCACCATCAGTCACCATCAATCACCATCAATCACCTCGGCAGAGTTTAATGTTGGAAACGGAGTTGGTTTATTGAATATTTTTGGACCAGTTTATGTTTGCAGCAGCCCACCAATTCAATGATGCTGGGGCCCTCAGCCGATCGCCATGGCAACGCTGCTGGGGGCTCTGTTTGCACTCGGTGGGCCTCTGTGGATGGAGCGCAGAAAGCAGAGATGATGTCATTTTGGAAAAGTTAGCATCCTTCTTGTTCCCTCCACAAAGATCCAGCGTGATTCTTCCTCTGGATTATGATTGCAGAACGAAATGCTCGCATGTTTGGTTCAGCAAGATAATCAAAATCGAGCGCCGCTTTTATGACTTTTGGAACGTGAACACAACCTTCAGGAGTCAGATCGTCAGATCGTGACTTGTCAGGACACCACATTTAGGATTCACTCTGTTATATTTATTCCAAACATACCCCAGGAGACAGACTGCGGGTACGAGCGATGTAACCAATGAACTGTGAGGGTGTGAAGGATCGTTTCCAGGTGTTACAGTCCCTCCTCTCGCCCCCTCAGGGATGCTGCCCACCGTGGCGAAGGGAACCCATGTGATCGTCCCGCTGGTGGAGGAGTTGGCTGACGACCGCTGGGAGGCCACCGTGGTCAAACAGGTGGACGAAAAGATAATGCTGTCGGTGAACTCGTCGCCCACGGCCGCCATCGGCCGGTATCGGCTCACGGTGGAAACCAACAGCGGCAACGGCGTGGGCGTCTCCAAACACGACGCGGCCAACGACGTCTTCCTGTTGTTCAACCCCTGGTGCGAAGGTAAAGCAAAAGACAAGAGGTTGACGTCTTTGGTTCGTACTCAGGGGTTGGTCCAAATAAAGTATTCCTCTGCTTTCATTATGCTAAGCTA